CCTGCGGCCCTTTGCTGCGTGTCACCCCCTCTCTCTATATCCACCTTTCCTGTCGACCTACAGCTGTCTCTATCCAAGGCCAAAAAAAAATTACTTAAAAAAAATAAAAAATTCTGCTCCTCCATGTTTGATTGTGAGTGAACAGTGATCCCACCTGCATCCACAACTTCTGTTTGCTGCTCTGAACACTCAACAACAACAACAAGGACAGAGAGATTCATAACTGCAAGAGAGGACATTAAAGAGCAAAACAAACAGTCCTAATCACACACACACACAGAGGTTTAAGCACATGCTTTGCACAAAAAAGGAAGCACACAAGAGCACGGTCAGTTCAATGACCTTCACATAACAAGAAAATAATATATTACTGAACTGCAACATGACTGTAGGGACACACAGAGAGGAGGAAGGATGGTTTGAGTGTTAACATCCTTTGTACAAATAAGGAAATGTGGAAATGAAGCTCTGAACCTGTCAGACTGACATGAAAAACAGGATCTCATTATGAGAAACAGACAGAGGTGGTCCGACTCTCCTCGGCTCCGTTTGCCTCTTTAAGGCTGATTCAGACTCATGTGATGGATTTATATCAACATGCACACACGTCTTTAAAAGATAATTATGGCATTATTCTTCATGTTCCTATTGTCAATAAATCTCATTAAAAGACCAAAACCAACAACATCTTAGTCCGTCTCTGAATACTGTCTGACTTCCTGTCTGTGAGTTCTCAGCTCAAAGCTCATTGGTTCCTGCTAAAGATCTTTAAAAACACAAATATATAGTTTCATGTTTAATAAAGTTCAGTAACTAAAACTAAAACTAAAACAGCTGCTCACTGTAGTTTTTATCAAACAAACAGGAGGAAATAGTGCATTTTTGGCAGTGGATGAATCCACATTCGGTGCTCTAGTGAATATTTGGGGCGGCGGGATGCTGTATAAATAAACTACAGTGCGTGTGTTCACGGTAATAAGAGAACAATGTAGCTCAATAACATATTTTTAATAGTTTTTGGACAACAATGGAGCACAGAGGAAGGAAATATATCACATACTTGTTAGTCGATACATTCACTGTCACAGTCCCTCCGGGATTTTGCAGGCTTTTTTGGGCGAATTGTTGAGGCCAAAAATGTCTGATTTCAATCAATGAGATTGAAGGAGGAAGCAAAAATAGTATTTTTTTAAATATAATTCATTAAAAATCGAAGGCTAATGAGAAACTCGCAGGAAGCTACAATTATTGATCACATTTGCAAACAAAA